ATCCATGGCGTTCAAGTGACTGGCCCAAAGCCCACATCAGCTAATGGGGCAGATCCTGTCTCACATACTTTATTCAGGTCTTCTAAAAAAATCAACTTTGAGTTGTAACTTAGATTTAACAATATATATATATATTTTAAGATTTATTTATTTGTTCATACAGAACTGGGGTACAGGCCAGAGGCTCAGGGGCAGCGAGAGGCTTCACTAGTGACAGAGTGGGGAGCAGAACAGGCAGATCTACAAAGTACACTGCTGAGGGGAGCAGCGGGCGGTTCAGGAGAGGTCTGCCACGGCATGTGGTCACCTCCTGGGCAGGCGGGTATCGAACTCATGCGGAAGTGGCTTTAGCTTTTCAGTGCTGTGCTTTAACCCGCTGCGCCACCAGGGAGGGCCAGTTTTATGAGTTTTAACAAATTTGTACACTGTGTAACCACCACCCTAATTATTACATTATCCTCTAGAAGTTCCCCTCTGTGGTTAGTCCTACCCCCCATACCACCAGCTAATACAAATGTAATCATATAGAATGCATTTTCATGTTCTATGTTTTCCTTGTCAGAATGATTCTAAGATTCATCTGTGTTGTATACAATAGTAATATGTTCCTTTTTATTGTTGTATAGTAGTCTACTATGTGAATATATTACAATTTATTCAACCATTTATCTATTGATTAACAGTTAGATGTTTATAGTTATTGGGTATTGAAAAAAAGTGGAGTGTATGTGTCTTTTTAGTGTCATGTATGCATTTCTCTTGGGTAAATAAAAGTGAAATTGGTGGATTGTATTGCTCGCATGAAAATAGGCTTGTTATTTGCCCATATTAAGATTATGACACCAGGGGTTTTGAGAAGAAATACTTAGTTTTATAACGAAATGATTGGCAAGGATACAGGAGATAATTTTTTTTTATTTATTTTAAAAAGAAATTAGATTATATAGGCTTGGGGAACCAGGAGTAAAAACAAAGGATTAAAAGCAAAGAAATGTGGATTTGGTTTAAGTTTATTGGTTACTTACACAGACGTTTATACATGCAGAAATACAAAGCGGCTTTTTTACAATAGTTGAAATTTTTAATTTTTGTTGTTGGGTCCCTCACCTCTACACAGCTCTGGTCTGTGTTTGTGTCTCCCAACTTCAGCTGACCTTGAAGCGTGGTTCAAATTAGTAGGTAAGCCTCCAGACTCTGTTATACCTACAAAAGCAAGTCTCAATGAAAAGTTCAGATAACTTTCCCCCTTTTTGTGCTTTTAGAATCTGAAACCCACTTAGTTATTTAGCCATGATTATAATTCCCTAAGTTTTGGGAGTTTTGATGGTTGTTGGTGGAAAAGATTTTTACTTATTTATTTTTTAAGCTATTTTTTTGTTCATTTTAAAACAATGTTTACTTCCTTCCTTTCCCACTTTGCTTGCATATCATCATCACAGTCCCCACATTCCTCCCTCCCCTCCTTCTGAGCCTTCTCCCACCCCTCCCCCTATGGGAAAGCTCTGGTTTATAATTGTTTTGTTTTGTTGTGTTGTGTTTTTTATTGTGGAAAAGATTTTTAGATGTGAAATTTAAAGTACTTTTAGATGATAGACTTGGGGGGAAGTGTTTGATGTTAGGAATTTAGAAAATACAACTATGAGAATTGCTTATGTACACTTAATGTAGCGATATTTTAAAGTTAATATGAAGATTTTTATTTTTAATTTAGTTTTGAGATTAAGATTAGGAAATATTAGAAACTGTCAGCCTGGAAAATCATAGATAATCAGAAAAATTAAGGATTAAGTTTATAGGTAAAGAAGAAAAAGTTAAAATGACTAAACTGGAATTTGATATTTATAAAAAGACATTTGATATGTATTTCATTAAGTAATAATTTTAATTTATAAATTATGATTATGTTTAATTTGACTGATTTGTATACATTTAGTGAGTAAAAATTATATAGAATGAAAAATTTTTATTGAAATTTTTTATTTAGTTTGAGTATCTGAGTATTTAGTTGAATTTTAGATTAGATTGAATTATTTTATATCTTAATCTACATTAGCAGTAATATTGGTTTAAAGACTATACATGACCAAGAAAACAAAAAGAAATCCCTTACTGCAGAATTGAGGGTACTGTGGATGGAAGTTCAAGAATAAGAGCCAGAAGAGGCCCTCCCCGGTGGCGCAACAGGTTAGGATGCAGCACTGCAGGCTGGCTGCCCCTGCTTTAGTGTGAGTTCAATCCCCGCCCCCGAGGTAAGCCACATGGCGTGGCAGACCTCTCCTGA